GAAACCACGGCTCAGATGAACTGAAATGGAGTGTGTGACCACCTGGGCACAGTCACTGGCACAGCGAGCACTCAGTGAAGGGCAGCAGCTTCCATCGTCCATATCGTTGTTACTTCTCCCTGGTCCTCTCCTTGCCGTCCAGCTCTCTGGCTGGCCTCCCTGCCTCTAGCCTCTCCCTCTCGAATCCGTTCTCCACGGGGCAGGGGGTGTGATCTTTCTGAAACATGCAGCTGACTGCTAGCCCCCTCCCTGAGGCTGGCCCTGGCTCTCCAGCGTCCTCGTGCTGAGTTCTTACTCCTTGGCCTGGAATTCGAGACCCTTCTCCCTCTGGCCCCTGCTGACCTCTTTAGCCTCATCTTTTGAAACTCCCAGTCTTTCCCTCTATACCGCATCCCCAACACACTTCTATCTGTCCCTCTAACACACTTCCTGCTTTTTCACCCCTTCCTGACTTTGTCCCTGCCTTATTGGCCTGGAGAGCTCTCCTCATCTGCTTATAATTCACGATCCACCCGAAAGATGTCTTCCGTGATGAAAGTCTGCCTTGTCCCCTCCTCTGAGCCCTTCAATTCTATAGCAGCACAGATTACACTGGGTATCATTGGGGGTCACTTTTTTCATTGGCTACCCCCACTAGACTGTGTCAATTCACTGTGTCCAGGCACCCAGCACAAAGGCAGCTTCATTCAATGTGGAAGGAATGATGACCCTCAGTTCTCCTAATCTTTAAAATGGGCAGCCTGGGAAGCCTAGGCAGCTAGGCCTGGTTAATCCAGAGGAGAATAAGAGCACTGGAGGCTGGAGGAAGATGAAGTCACAGAAGGCTCCCTGGAGAAGGTTGGACTTAGAGTTATAACGCATCTAAGAAAGAGCAAGAGTGAGCAAGAGAGGGCAAGTGAGTGAGAGAGAGTGAAGACTTGGGAAGCTGAGTGGCTCTCTGCTTGTCACACTTGATCCTCTAGCTTCAAAACACTCAAAACTCCCCCACACCCCCACCTACACCCCCAGGCCAATAGCACAGCGCTTTACATTTACAGAGAGAATTTTCACAACCATTTTCTCATTTGTGTGGTTGGTTGACTCGGATCCTGCCTGTCCTTGGCTGTCTGTGTGACGTGGGCAGTCCCTTTTACCTCTGATCCTCAGTTTCCTCATCTGTCACGTGGGGATACCACTTGTTGCTCAGTAGGAGGGAAAGCCTCCATAGACCACAGAGTTCTGCGCCCCAGTGAGGACTATTAATCCTGTTGTTCCAATATGAGCAGAGCCCAGTGGTAGCTGCTAACCAGCCACTTTGGAGTTCCCAGAAGAGCATTGCACAGGGCCCCAGTAGAAAGGGACCCCAGGGGGCAGGGCCCCTGCAGGCTAGGAACGGGCAGGGCCTGGGGGTTTAATGGGATCAGGCTGAGCCCCAACCTCGTCCTCCCCACTAAGACAGCACAGGCATGGGGAAAGGAGGGAGCAGCTGGAGGGGCCTAGGCTGCAGGTGAGCTGGGCCACCCTGCAGCGGTCTCGGGTGGTGAAGCCTACAAAGGAAGTGCCAGGAGCCAGTCGGAACCCAAGGACGGACAAGCTTCTGGGATGGCAGAGTTTAGGGGGGCAGGCAGCTGGGCCACTCACCCCACTACAAGGGGGGCTCTAGGAGAAGGGAGATGGGCTAAAATCTTTCTGCCCCAATTTGTAGCATTCAGGGCTGGCTGGCTCTGCTGCTGATTTGCTGTGTGACTTTGGCCAGGTCATAGCCCCTCTCTGGGCCTCCCCCTTCCCATCAGTGACAAGAAGGGAGAAGGACCAGAAGCTCTCCTTAGAGTCGAGTGTTGTCTGCTTCTGCAGGAATGCTGGAGAGAAACCCCTGAGGTTGTCAGGACAGCCATGCTCCAGTCTCCGCCTGTGGAAACACCAAGAAAGAAGGTGCTGGGCCCCATTGAGATGCTAGTTTTATAGGAGAGGGGTCAGAGCCAATCTCCAGCCCGGAGGAACCCCCAGGCCAGTGAGGAAAACATGGACGACAACGCCCAGAATGATCTGGGCCGCCAGACATGGAAGCTTCAGTGCCTCTCCTGTGGCAGACCCTTAGGAGCCCTGGGCAGGGAGCCAGGAGTCTGGCTTCTAGGGCAGCTCTGCCACCAACTCCCTGTGTGACCTTGAGCAAGTCACTCCCTTCTCTGAGCTTTTCTTATTTGAAAAATAGGGGGAAATGAGGATTGGACTACACCGCCTGCTTTTAAGGACCTTCTGGCTCTGATGTTCTGTGATTGCCCAGCAAACCTCACACAACCAGCCCACACGGATCTAGTTAGTGGAGGGAACAGCCTCTCAGAATTGCAGCAACTTGCAGGGAAATGCAGTTTCTAAACCATTTAGATGCTAGAATAAAAGAAAATTAAAATCCCTGCTGACTAATCTGATACAGGAAAAAGTTCAGTTTAACTCAAGTGAACCCTTTCATTCGTTAATTCATTTCTTAAAAAATATTTGTTAAGGGTTTACTCTGAGCTGGGTCTTCCCAGGCACCGGGTGTACGACATTTCTTCTCAGGATGTGGGGCCTCGCTGCCGTGACCTTTTTCCATTCAGACGCACCCTGTCCATCTATTCCTTAAGTCATTTCTTGAAAAGAGCATTTTTCTAGCCATGTAGAGCCTCTATTTAGTAACCAGTCCATCTGAAACTGTTTGGAAACTCCCTCAGAACAAAACAGCAATTTATACTTGTCTCTGACGTTAGCCTAAGAAATGAAGAGAAGAAAATAAAACCTTTGGCCTAACTTTTCCCCAGGTGGAAACCAGAGCTTCCGAATTCTCCAGGTGGCCTGGCTTGGTGGAAAGAGTCCAAGGCCAGAGCCAGGAGGCCTGCTTTCCAGGACCAGGTCTGACACTGACCTGCCATCGAGCTGGGCTGCTCCCCATCCCCACCCCCGCCTGATTCTTCATTTGTGAAGAAGGATCAGGAACTCAGCGATCTTCAGGGCCATTTCTACTCTTACATATTCTGTGACATGAGAAGGGTTTGGTTAGAAGAGGCAGAAGCTGGAGTTAGTTTTGGAAAACCAAGTGGAACCACTCAAGGGGTCATCGGGGCAGAGAGGCGGGGATCGGAGTGTCGACATAACCTGACCCTGGATGGCTTAGTCAGGGTAAAGAGCAAGTCGGCACTCCTCTCAGCTCAGTTCTGTGGGTTGGAGAGTCTCACTTCAGGGGGCTGGGGCCTCCATGGATGTGCAGTAACCTTCTTCAACAGCCCCTGGAGAGTGGCGTCACTGTCTGCAGAGCGCCTGGTCTTCTCTCTGCAACTTTTCAGTTGTCTGTGGTGCCCTCTGAACTGGGGCCCAGGAAGGAAGGAAGGCTCCGGGGCAGGGGGCATGAGATGCTAAACAGTGACTCTTGCCGAGCTGCCAGGTGACTCTAAGTACCCTGGAGTCTGTTTTTTCCCAAAAGGGGGAGAATCTGCCTTCAACTTGGATTCTATTCGGGAAACGACTCCTTCTACCAAAGAGTATATCATGCCTCCACCTTCATAGGGTGACCAACACCCGGGTTTACCAGGGCCTGAGGGATTTCCGGGGATATGGGACTTTCAGAGCTAAAACCAGGCAGTTCTGGGCAAATCAGGATGGTTGGTCTCTGGGTATGACCAAGAGACAGGATACAAGGACAGGTCACAGGGTACCCAGGTTAGACTGAAACAGACAGAGAGCCTTAGCAGCAGCTATGCAGAAAGGGAAGCCATTCTCGGGTTAAGCAACTCTGCCTATCAACCACAATACGATATCACAGAAAGGGAATCCTCAGTGTATGGAAGTGTAGAGACAAAGAACACTGATTCAAGAGACACACATCCCAGCCCAGATGGAGTGAGATGAGAATGGAGTGAGGGGTAGAAAAGGAATTGAAGCCAGAGCTGCACAGAAGTGGTTCTTTCAGCCATCCCTGAAGAAGGGTTCCCACCAGTTCCTTGGAGCTCAGGAGCTGGAAGTCATTATCAGAGGCCACTGACAATCCTCTAGGCTTGGAGGTTCATAAGCAGAGTAAAGAGAACCTTAGAGTAAAGTGTATAGAGTTTTCACTCCAGGGTTTAGCTTCATCGCTCTCCACCAGCGATCCTCCTGTCTTCACAAAGTCTCAGGTTAAGGAACTCCACTCAGGACGTGCCGTGTAGAGATATCTGAGCTGGATGGTCTTGTGCCAAATGTCTGCAGTCAAGATTCTGGTGCTGATAGTGGGCAAAATCTAGTAAGTGGTTCATCAACATTACCACACCCAGAATGTTCCTTCACCTGTGGTATCAGGAGCTAGGCAACCACATGAGGCATCCTTAAAGGAGCAACTTAAAATAATAAAGAAGCTACTTGATTTTTAATTGACATTTGAACATAAATAGATGCTTCTCAAGATTTTTTTCTCTCGGATGGAATAAATTTGCCCCCAAACCCTGCTGTCTGATTGATGTGGTTCATTTATGATACTTTTTTTTAAGAACCAGTAGATCTAGGGTTAGAAGATTACTTAAAAGTTTTTAATCTAGCTCCTGCCCAAATATTAAACCTCCTCTGTGGCATTTCAGCCAAAGACCCCAGTCTTGCATACTTCTAGTTGTATGGAATGCACTAATTTTCAACCCAGTCTTTTGCCTTATGGGATAGTCCTAATTGTAAGAAATTTATTCCATATGTGGGGCTGAACTCCGGGCCCTGGAGTTGCTGATACTGGCCCTGGTTCTTTGTAAGTGTTCCTGCCCTGTGACAGCCCTGCCAGTGTTTGTGTCCACCTCTCTTCCCCCCTCAGACAGGACCAGCTCTTTTGACCATAATCATTAGACACCTCACCATCCTGGGCGTCTTAGTTGTGCTGTGAAATTCCAGGAACAAAGAAACTGTTGGGATTGAGATCCGCAGTTGGAAAGAAAAAGATGCATGTTCTAATGTTTCCCTGATTGTTTTGGTTTCCAGATATGTGCTGATGTTCCCAGTGCCTGTGTGTAGACATTCAGCCCTGACTCACTATGGAAGCCACCTGTAATGGATCAGAGGACTCCTCACCTGTCTTCTACCTTGTGGGCATCCCCTCTCTGCCCAAATCCCTCTTCCTCCCTGTCTTCTTGATTTTCCTCTTAATCTACCTGCTCATCCTGGTGGGGAATGCTCTGATCCTAGTAGCTGTGGTGGCAGAGCCCAGCCTCCACAAGCCCATGTACTTCTTCCTGATCAACCTCTCGGCCTTGGACGTCCTCTCCACCGTCCCCAGGATGCTGTCCCTATTCTTGCTTGGGGACCGCTTCCTCAGCTTCCCTGCCTGCTTCCTGCAGATGTACCTCTTCCACGGCCTCAACTGCTCTGAAGCCTTCATCCTGGTGGTCATGGCCTATGACCGCTATGTGGCTATCTGCCGCCCACTGCACTACCCTGTCCTCATGACCCCACAGA